AAAAATTTATATTCAAAAATAAAAACATTTAATAGATATTTACATATTTCCGGAAAGTTTTATTTAATTTCACTTATTATTCTGAAAGCTTCATTTCCGGAAACTTTCATTTATTTCCTAATTCTTTTAAATTATTTTTGTTTCTGAAAAACATTTCTTTGAAACATTTTCTGTTTTATTTCTGATACAATTTTTGAGTATATAATTTTTTTATTTCTATTACCTCTAGTTTTATAATTGTTTTCAATTTAATTTTTTTATTTTTAAAATTTTTTTCTTAAAAATATTTTTTATTTGTTTTCCATCCAAAATTACTGTAATTTTGACGTTCTCGCCTGTCTTTAATTATTTCCTTTTTTTCCTATAAATAATTTTGACTAAAAGCCAAATTATTCACTTACTCACCCCGCCCCTGTCTAGTCATTTTTTCTTTATAATTAAAATTTTTTAAATATATCTTTAAAGAAGGATTATGAAAGGGATTTAAAAATAATTTAAGCCAAAATTAAGCCAAAAATTAAAAAAAGTTATACACTCATTAAATATAAGAGGGATTATTAAATATACAATTAGTATGCGCAATAAGTACGAAATAGTGCGGAAATTGCGTAAAGAAGTAAATTTTTGAAAATAATTGGATTTATGGCTTCGTCAAGATTGCGAAAATTTTTTTTAGTTATTATTAAAATTATTAGTTAAGTATTTAATTATGGATGGGCTATGTAAGGGTCTATAAATTGTTATGTAAGGGTCTAAGGGTAGTAGTAAGGGCTAAAATTGCTTTTTAAATTTAATAGATATTTGTGAGAACAGATTTATTAATATTTAAGAGTCCATCAACTGATATTAATGTATGTAGATTTAAAGACGAAAGATTTAAGTCTAAACAACAATAATACGAGAATAGGAAAAAAACAAATCCCCCTTATCAAATTATTTAATAAACCTTAAATTACAAGAAATTTTCATTTTTATTTTTTCTAATTAAATAATAATTACTTAATTCATTTAAAAAGAAGCTAATCTTTTAAGAAACCGAAATATTTTAAAACAATTTTTTAACAGACAAAATTAAAAATATTTTAATTGGGCATCTCGTGACAAGATTATGTCCACCCACGTTTTTGCCCTCATCAATTTTGTCTCCTCAAAAAATTTTGAGGAAAAAACAACGTGACAACAAAGACATTACCGAAAGCTCCATACCTTTCTTTGTTATTTTCACTTTTTGAATTAAAAAAAATTTACTTTTAATTATTAAAGAATTTTATCATTAGAGCAGGCTAACCTACAGTGATCAGAAGGGGGGGGGGGACAAAATGTAAAAGCATTGAATACCGGACTCGAAAATATCGTCTTAGAGCGGAATCAAACATACTAGTCCATTCTAATAATTATAACAAATTTACAGATAAGCTAAACATCTTCCTTTATCCATTTTCTAGAGAAATAATTTTATTAGAAAATGATAAACAGTGATGTCAAAGTTCCAAAATTTCTCTGGAACTAGTTCCAGTTCCAGAACTAGGTTTTTAATTTTTGTAGTTCCAGTTCCAGTTCCGGAACCAGGTTTTTAATTTATGTAGTTCCAGTTCCAGTTCCGGAACTCCATTTTTGAAATTCCTTAGTTCCAGTTCCAGTTCTGGAACTAGTTCCAAGCTAGTTCTAGTTCCAAATTTTTAAATTTTTTTTGAATATGAAAATATGGCTGTAGTATACAGGGTGACAAGAAAGTAACTGCAAAAAGTTAAAAAAAAGTAACCTGATATACAACTTACAACTCTTGAGCCTTGATATCACTCTTTATCTTTTTTCAAATCCCTCCTTATCAACCACAAATCTCTGTTCCCTCTTATTATCCTCCTTATCCATGATGTGGACCATGCAGTCTGGAAAGATACCGAGATTAGGAAATATGTAAAAAGATAATGCTACCGTGGGATTACGTAGGATTTGGAGGTATCTCTCAAAATCTTTAGATCTCCCTATAATTATTCCATTTCAGCGACGCAGGCAAAAATTTGAAGAATTTTTGAAGACCAGAAGCCAAATTCCTTCAATTTTCTGCGCCGCAGACAAAAATTTTGAGAATTTCGGAAGGCCAAGAAGCCAGAAGTCATCCATTTTCAGCGCCGCAGGCGAAATTTGAGAATTTGTGAAGACCAAGCCATCAGATTTCTTATTTTTTTGGCGCCGCAGGCGAAAATTTGAAGAATTTTTGAAGTCCAAGTCACCAGATTTCTTCCTTTTTTAGCGCCGCAGGTGAAAATTTTGAGAATTTTTGAGTTCAAGCGGCCAGATTTCTTCCATACTCAGCGCGCTGCAGGTAATTTTCGAGGAAATTTTGCCAAAAATATACCCCCAAGAACTAGTTCCAGAACTAGTTCCAAAGCTAGTTCCAGACATTTACTAGTTCCGTAGTTCCAGTTCCAAGCTAGTTCCAGGCATTTACTAGTTCCGTAGTTCTAGTTCCAAACTAGTTCCAGATAATCGTTAGTTCCGTAGTTCTAGTTCCGGAACTGGAACTAGAACTAATTAGTTCCGGAACTGGAACTGGAACTTTGACATCACTGATGATAAATATAATTTTTTTTAATTTTTGTACAAATTTTAAAACTTTTTTGCAAGAAATATTATCAATTTTCAATCTAAAAATTCTTGTTTATGCCAATAATTCATTATTTATTTTAGAAACCAGACTAACATACATATGAGTGATCTCTGAAAATATCGACATTGATAACCGAGATTTTTTGATCGAGATCTCGGCTTAGTCCGATCTTTGTTTATCATCTTTCAAATAAATATAATTTTTCCCTAATTTTTGACAATTCTTTTATGTCATCAGTTAAGTACACATATAATCAATTAATCACAATCTTCTAAATAAATCGCTCGCAAATTAATTTAAATTAAATTGATGTTAATTAGAAGGAAAAAATATATGTATTTCTTAATTCTGTCCATAATTAAATAAACAATTGCACGTGAAAAGGAGATAATTTTAAATAAACACGTGTTTGTTGTTTTTAACAAATTAAAAAGTTTTTTTTTAAATTTATGTAAAATTTTTTATTAAATTTTATTAAATTATAAATTTTAAGTATTTTTAAAATAATTTCCTTTAATTATTTTTATGCTGCGGTTATCTGTTGTAAGATACAAGGATATCGAGATATTTCAAAGATTTTTGAATAGCTAAGCTTAAAAATTTATTTTTAAATGTTTAATGGATCTTTTAATAGATCCTTGCCCGAATCCTTGTCTTTTCAGATCTCTTATGGGAAAGTAACTTTACACTCATCACTGGCTAAATTTTTGACAAAATCCTTAATGAGAATATCATAAAATATGATAATTTCTATATATTATTCTTTTTTTCATAGCTTTATCTATCCATAATTTTTACCGGTTTTTAGTCTTGGTAAAAAACAAACAAAAATAATTTACAAATCTCAACATTCACGTGTATTATTTAAAAGTAAAAAAATAATTTTGTCACAGAAAATTTAGAAAATATCATTGTTAACAACCCCTATCTATATTTTTCTTTCAAATTATAAAATGTTTGAATCCCTTCCCCGTTTCCGTTTTTAAATTGTACTGACTGAGAGAATTAAATTGTAAAAACGAAACGTGACCGTTTGGATATTTTTTTAATTTGAAAAAATTTTGTTTTAAAAAATATATAAAAAATTACTGTAATTTTTTTAATTAACCAAGACTTCTATAAAAATAAATAAAATATTTTTTAAATAAAATAGATATAGTGCCATATACATAGAAAAGAATTGTAATAAATGCAGCAGGGGTCGGTCGGAAATGACGAAGGTGTCGAAAATCGGAATTTAAGAAATCGGAAATGGCTCAAAAGTCGGAACTCGGAAATCAGCCTAAATTTTCAGAAATTGGAATTCCAATCGATCCCTGGTATTTGGTATGCGTGTATTAATTAGGAGAAAATAAGAAAAAATTTTCCTTCTTAAAAATTTATTAATAATTATTCAAAAATTTTTTTCCGAATTTTAAAAATCTTTAAAAACTTACAAATCATTACCGAATTGTTTTTTATACATTTAACTTATCAGATTTCCAATTTTCAAAATTCCTAACTTGTATTCATCAGTTTTTTCTGACAGAATAGATTGCAAAAAATATTAAAATAAAATATATTTATTCTCCATTTATTTTCTGAGAAAATTCCCATCTCGAAAATTTAAACTAAAAAAATTATAAAAAAATTCTTTTTTAGCACTAAAGAAATCTTAATCATTTTTCGAGATCTGTGACAACTTTTATTACAAGTTTATTACAAAATGACAGTGAAAAGTTGTAAGAAACAATAGGCATAAATAAATAAAAAAATAGGAGAGATTTGTTTATTTTATTTAGAAAATATTTTATTTATTTAATTTTATTTATTCATTTAATTTATTTTTTAATTTTTTATAATTTTAATTATCACAATTTATTAATTATTAATTGTCTTGTGATAAAACTCTTGAAAATTCACCCTAGAATTAACAAAACATCTCCTAGGTAAAAATGTTTCTATCCAAACATCATTGTTCTTTATTATTCTTTAGACATCTTAAACTACTGATATTAAAAACAAGATTTCGACATATAAACATCATTTTTAGTTCTAAAAACATCTAAAAAACATTTCCGAACATCTAACAAACAATTATTTTCCGAACATCCAAATAATTCACAATAAAAACATTTTTCCAAACATTAAACATCTTTAACAAAACATCAAATAAAATTTTTATAAAATTAATTAAACCTTTCCAAACATATCTAAACATGTTTTTAAAACATAAAACTATAAAATTACTCTCCCAAACATTTCCCCAAATAATAAAACATAAAGACATATTCACAACCAAAACATCTATTTTTAAAACACTCCAAACATTTAACCAACTTTAAAAATTGTTTTTTAAATAAATTTAAATTTCAGGGCTTTCCCTTACTTATCTTGGCCATAAATTTTATTTTAATACTTCAGCTTATTTTTATTTTAATGCACAACAAATTCAAGAACGGGTTTGTTGAGATTTTTATTTTTTAAAACATCTTTCTTCTAGTTTATCCCCTTCTTCCTCTCATTTTCCCGTCTCAAACAAATTTCTCCGGCTTCGAACAACTTTAATTTTTCTTATATTTCTTACACAAATGACCAACATTTTACACTCTGCACCAGTCGGAAATGAAGAAAAGGGTGCCATTAAATCGCCAAGAAGCGAGATTGTTGCTTACGTGAGTTTATATTTTTTAAAAAATATTTAAAAAATATTTTTGATAATTCTTTAGGAGCATTGGCATTGTGGATCTGACGATTTTGACAAAAGTCTCTCACATCAAATGGCAAGAGAACAGTGCCCAAAAAGAATGTGTAAGTTGTTTTAAATAATTAAATATTTTTAAAATGATTTAAACATTCCTAAATTTCATTAATAAAAAGTTCTAACACTTAAATAATTAAAAACATCTTTAATAAATTTATATAAACATAATTTTAATATCAAAACATCAAATAATTTTTAATAATTGAAACAAACATTCACAAACATTTTTCCAAACATCCAGCATTTAAAAATATTTCAAAAACAAAAATTCCCAAACATTTTCATAAGATCTAAACATCATTTTTCCAAACAAACATCTCAAGAATTATTCAAACAAACATTTTTATAAATGTTCCGAACAAAACAAATAGAATTTTTCAAACATTCTCGAAACATAATAAAATAGTTCTAAAACATTTTCAAACATTGTTTTTATATATCTAAAAATAAGCATTATCATTTCAAACAAACATCATAAAAACATTACTCAAGCAAAATTAAAACATTACCTAAACATCATTCTAAACATATTTTCCAAACATCTAAACATCTTACAAACATTCCCAAACATTAATTTTTTGGATGTTTTTAATGTTTATTTAATTTTCTTGTTTTCTTTAGTTGAAGCAGATCTTTGTTGTGTTGTTCACGATGCTTGTTATATGGACGAAACACGCAATCGACAAATCTGCGACGAACAATTTTGTCATTGTTTGGAAAGAACAGTTGCTCGTTCACAAAATTCTAACGGAAACAACAAAACTGTTGAGATAAAAGAAAATGGATGTTTGGATGTTAGCAGCACTTTTTGCCATATTGTTAATATATTTGGGGGTGTTGCTTATGCTTCTTCTGTTGATTTAGTTAATAAACAAAAAGCGGCAATGGAAGTTTGGGAAAAACAAGAAGCTGAAAAGAAGAAAAAAGCAAAAGAATTAATTGAGGCTGAGAAGAAAAATAAAAGTAAAAATGTTGGGGAGGAAGCGAAAAATAAGGGGTAAATAATTTATGAAAATTTGGAAAAATTTTTTCTGAAAATATTAAAAAATCTAAAGGCTTTGCCTATTTTTAACATAATTTTTGAAATTTTGTTTATTTTTGAATATTAATTATGCTAATATTTGATTGACGTTTTTTGGGGTTTTTTGAATTTTTAAGTTAGAAAATCCACAAAATTAATTTAAATAAAAGAAATTTTTTTGGAGAAAATAATTTTAAAATTTTAATTTAGTGAGAATAAAGAAGCAAACAAAGATGAAAAGAGTGCAGTTATTCATAAATTTCCATTGAAGGATTGTTCAGATAAAAGTAGGGTTTTGAATAAGATTAAAAATTAATTTTAAAAAATTTAGAAAAAAATTTTAAATTTAAATTTGAAATATTTATTAATATTTTTAAATTATTATAAATTATGGAAATTTTATTTTCTGAATTTTTTTTAAAAAAGTCAAAATAATTTAAAAAAAATTTTCTAAAAATTTTTTAAATAATTCAAAAAAAATTTTTGAATTTTTATTTCAATAATAGAAAATATTTCATCTTTAATTTCTATTTTTATTGAAAAATAAAAAAAAATTTTGAAATCTTTTTTATTTTTTTCCAAGAATAAAAAATTTTTTTTAAAGGACTTGTAGATTGCAGTGTCCAATTACAATCTTGTACCAACAATTTACAAAACAAAAAATTGGGAGATGGGAATATCGAAGCTAACGGAAATTCCTTTGCTTTATTATTAAGTGCAAAATTGGCAGAATGCACAAACCAATTTTGTAAATGTTCTTCTACAAAATTATTAACAAAAATTGAACAAAATGATAAAGAATGTGTTAATAATTTGGCTAACATTTGCGCTCAATTTTCTGATGATTTTGGGGGGATTTTGGAACAAAATTTTGAAAAAACTAAATGTTGGTAATTAAAAATAAATTAAAGAAAACGTCTAAAATAAAAGATGGTTCCCTCAATTAGTATGAAGAAGTCTTATACCTTTAAAATTATAAGACCGACAATGTTTTTTCCAAATTTGTTAATAAAACTAAAATGTGTGTGAAAAAACACATTTGCACCGAAGAGCTTTAAAGATTAAGACACTTTCAATCTTTAATTAGTTTTTGATATGGGTCCGACTGCTTTATTCCAATTTACCTTTTTTGTGTAAATTTTAGTAAAATCAAGAATATTCCTTAAATGATTCTTAAGGTAGAAATCGGGAATTCCCGGATTTTTTAAATTCATAATTTCGAGAAATCGAATCCCGACCCAAAAAATTTCCGATTTGCGGGAATCGGGACAGCAGGATCATATAAACTTAAAATAAATTTTCTAAAATTTATAATAATTTTATTTATAGCTACTTATCTGAGTTTATGGTCAGTTAATCTAAATCATCAAAATAATCAAAATAGTGTTGGATTGACTGTTATGTGTACATTACTTGCATTGGTAAAAAGAAATTTAATTTAAATTATTTTTAAATAATTTATATTTTCTTTAAAGATCGTCATCACAATTTTCCTCTACATTTTAACAAAAATAATTAATTTAATTAAAAAACATTTTGGAGAAAAATCAAATAATAAACACAAAGATTATTTAAAAGCTAAAATTCGTCGAAATACTTTAACTAATGCTTTGAGACACGTTGGGGGTGTTGGGGGTGATGATAATGATGATGAGGATTTTGAAAGTCGGGGAGGGAAAGGTGGACCTCATTATGTGGGTTTTTAATTAAATTTTGACTTTTTAAAATTATTTAAAAATAGTTAAAATTAATGACCTCAATATTTAATTAATTCAGAAAGAGTTTGGGATTAAATCGAATTTTAGGGAATTTTTAAAATTGCGAAATTAATCGTTGAAATATTTTTAAAAATTAAATCAAGAAATTTCTTTTATGAATTTTTAAAAAATTAAAAAAAAATTTTAAGAATAAAACTTTTTTGAAAAAGTTTTTCAATAATTTTGAATATTAATAATATTAAAATACATCATAATCTGTTTTAATTAATTTTTAAATTATTATTAATGCCTTATTTAAATTTTATCAATTTAAATTCGAAAAATAAAAAATAATAAAAATTAATTTAAGATCTCTTTGAGTAACCAAAAGAAGCCTTCCACCGTCTCCAGTCCAACCGACAGTGTCGCTACCAGCCAACAATTATTAATTTCTTGCCACAAAAAAACAAATTCTGAAGCTTTACAAGACACCAAAAAACCTTCAAAAACCCTCAATAAACCAACAAATTTATTACTAACAAGTTGTAATTCTACAAACACCAATTTAATAAATAATTCTTCTAGCCAAACACAATTAATTGGAGAGGGAACGAATAATAATAGCAATGCAAATTCGAGTAGCACTTTGTCGGATATTTCTATTAGTGCTTAAAAATGAAGGAAAATAAAATTTTGGAAAAAGAAAAATTTTAGAAGAGCTGATTAAAAAATTAAAGAAAAAATAATTAAAAGAGCTTAGAAACCCAGAAAATAAATTTTTTTTAATTTTTTCTAGAAATTTTACGGGAATTTTATTTTATTTTTTTGCGATTTTTAATCTTTAAATAAATATTATATTGAAAATTTTGTTAGTGTTATTAAATGGATTTAAATGCTTATTAACATTTTATATTGAAACAAGCTTATTAACTCAGGCATCTCAGAACCGGAGTCTGATTTACTTCGGAGAAATTCGGAGTCCGAGTTTCTTTTTTATTAATTAATTCAATTTAAAAAATTTTTTAAATATAATATTAGAAAGTAAAAGAATGAAAACATGTACAAGATGGAGATGCCGGAAGCATTTAATTTAAAATTGAATTTAGATCGAGTTTTAAAAAACGATTGAAAATTCAAAATTAGACAAGAGTGTAAATGATTTTATTGTCTTCATTTTGTTTCTATGAATATACTTGTTAGAATAAAATTTAATGCCCAAGTTACGCATAATTATTTTTTCGTTGATACTCAATTTGTTTGGAAAATATTTTTTAAACGTTTACTGCACAAATCACTCACTACCTAATTCACCTCATTGCTTGAATCCCTCCTGCCCATTTAACCACTGCCCACGTCACTTCTGCCGAAATCACCTAACAAAGTAAGAGAGTACGAGCAAATTTCAAAATTCCAAACACACCATATAAATTGTCCAGTTTGTCGCTTGCACTTGCTTGCCACGGCAAATTTTGAGAATTTATCGATATTATGCTTTACTTATTTCTTAATATTTATTTATTCAAAATCAAAAAATAAAAAAAAATTTGTATTCTTTTAAATGTTCACATCGAAGAAAATATTTAAAAAATTATTTTTATTCGTAAAAAATCTAAAATTTATACAAAAAACTTGAAAAATATTTGAGGATATATTTTTGATTTATTAATTATCTGAACATGATTTTCTTCGAGACCGAAAATTTTCGGTTATGACTCGGTCATGCTCAATGATCTTTCTTAACTTTAGCGGAAAAAATAAACTATAAGTGATTTATATTTGGAAAAAAATTATGAAATTTTTTAGGCATTTGGAAAAATCCGATTCCGTTTAGTACTCCACGAACACTACCGGAGCACATAGCTGACAAATACATGCAGCTTTCAAGCGCTATGTGTTTGTATAGGGTTTAGAAGGTTTGTTTAGGGATTGCATAATATCGTAATCAAAGTCTCCCAAGTAGGGTTGTCGGTTTGAAACTGAACCGAAAAACCGAAGATTTTCGGATCGGCATAACGATAAATGGGAATGTGCGAATATTGCTATTAATTTACTTAATATAAAATAATTTTAGATGTTAAAATTTTTAATTATCTTCCTTGTATATTTGATTATTCATGTAAATATTCAATGCGACGGAAAATTAATTCAAGTTGAAGTTAAAATTAAAAATGATTGGAAAGAAAAAAGAGAATTTATTTATTTAAAAAATGTTCAACTAAAGGAGCGTTTTGTATTGAAAATTATTGAAAAAAAATCTTATTATATAGAAGGATTTCATAATATGGAAGGATATTTGAGTTTAATTGACTTGAACATTGATAGAAATATTTTTAAAGTTAAAGTTAGTGATAATTCCTACAATCCATCGTTTACTCTAAAAATGAGAGTTTTGATTGAGATAAGCAATAATGAAATTGTTCAAAATTTATTGCCTGGATTTGAGAAACGGGTATTTTATATTTTGGTTATTTAAATTACAGGGTGACTTTATTAAAACTCAATCAAATAATATCAAAATATTTACAATAAAATAATAGAGAATTAAATGGAGAACAAAAATAATTGTGATTTTTCGTTTGCTCGCGTTTGCGCCTCTGTCTTACAGCCAAAGGGGGGTATTTAGAAAAATCCCAATTATTTTTATTCTCCACTTAATTCTCTATTATTTAATTGTATTTTGATATTATTTGATTGAGTTTTAATAAAGTTATGATAAAAAAAGGCAGAGACTTTTGAGTCACCCTGTACAATCCAGACTAGGACACGGATACTGATTTTGGTATCCGTATCCGGATATTTACGGCGGATACAGACGGATAACCGCAGGCATTTGTATCATATCTGTATCCGTATCCATGTCCTAGTCTGGTACAAACCAAAAAACTTTTTAACTAATCCCAATTTTAAAAAATTTGTATATTTTGTTTAAATGTAACCAAATTTGAATTATAATTTTAAGCTACTCCGAAATAATAATTTTATTAAAAAACATAATTATTATGAAACTTGTATATTAGATGAGAGTTTAGTAAATATAAAAATAAATAAAAAAGAATCATCAAAAGAAAATATAGAAAATTACAAAGACAAACTTTTATCAAGTTATTGGACGGAAATTAATTTAATTGGATATAAAATTGAATTGTTAGAAAAACAAAAAGTTGATTATCCAAACAAATTAATAAGCTGTATTGTTTACGTTGGCAATAAAATATGTAAATAAATAAAAATTTTTATTTTTGGTTTTATTTTTTAATTAAATTTAATTTTAAATATTATAGTAACCGAAATAGATGAAAGAAAGAATTTACATTGTTTCAATTGTGGAGTTATACTAGATAAAAGATGGCATAAATATTTAAAAGTATATTATTTGTGCGTCAATTGTGGCGATTATAAACGAAAGTTTGGAAAGCATAGAACAAAAAAATTATGGTTTATTAAGGAAAAGGTATATAATTAAGGAAGTTTTTTGAAGTTTATTAAGGAATTTTATTTAAAAATAATTAACATAAAAATGTTAAAACATAATGGATTTTATTTGTTATTTAATTAGGGTTTCCGAAAATTAAATGTGTTTGTTATACCTAAAATAAGCACTATAAGAAGTGCTTGGATCTAATATATTATATAATAATTTTTTTCTTAATTTAGAAAAAAAATTTAGAAAAAATATTATAATTTTTTCGAAAATTATTTTGCGTATTCGACATTATTTTTTATATTTTGGGACTAGAATAATAAATGAAAATGTTCAAAACATCATTATATCGAAAATTTTATTTAGATCGAATTTTTTAAAGGCACACTCTAATGAACGGGTAGAATCATATCAGGGCACATTAATTTCTAGCATTTAACATTAAATTTTTATTAATATAATTTATATGTAGGGAGTGGCAAAATATGCACGAAAAATCCCAAAATATGCGCATATATATGCACCGAAAAAGCCTAAAATATGCACAAAAATATGCCAAATTTTCCAAAATATGCATTAAATATGCAGCAAAAATAATAGAAATGTGGTTTAAAAATCCATATTTTGAGTAAAAAATACTAATTTAGCATAAATTGCAGTTAAAGAGCTCTTCTAGAAGATTTTATGAACTTAAAATTTAAATTCCGATAAAAATTTTTTGAAAAAAGTTTTTCCCGAAAAATTTTTTGAAAATTTTGCTAAACAAATTTTTATCA